TATATATATATATATATCAATTTTTTTCATTTTATCAATAAGATAATAATCTCATAATTGATAAAACCCTTGCCGTAAACCGGATATAATTAAACTATATTTTATCTTCTTTTCAAAACAACGATTAAGAGTACGTAACTACGACGAGAAACATTTGAAAAAAAAATTGAAAAGAAAAAAAAAAACAGTTTATAATTAAATTGCGCGTAAAACACTAGTTATAACTAATTAATCACATCAACAATAGCTGTCATATATTTTTCTAGTTATTAATCTTAAAATTATAAATGATAGGCATGAATGATAAATGATAACAAATAATTAATTAATTGTACTTCCGCTTTGATGGCCTTGAGAATTTAATAATATTATAAACAAAAATAAATAAATAAATAAATAAATAAAAAGCAATGCTTTAGTTTACTTGCTACATAATATTATTGATAAACTGATAAAATAATTATATAAAATAATTATGATCGACAACAATGAAAAACTAACTCGATAAGATTTAATTACTTGTTGTTATTGGTATACAATGATGAGGTAATATAATTATTATTTTATTATATCTGAAAAAATATTTCAACACTGCGGTTAATGGGATTGATTCCGTGATGTACTGATATTATTTGCTACATATTTTATTATCAAATTATCACGTTTATACAGATTTTAAGCTTTAAATAAAAAAAAATGATGATGTAAATACAGATCGATAGATAGATAATAAAGTAATAAAGAATAAAAAGTAAAAATAAACTAACCTTTGGCCCATCCAGTGAGAACATTGCCAAGATAAGCGACCTTGTAACAAGGATCGTATTCAGTGATCGAGGCATTGCCTCTGTGTCTTTTCCATATTCTTCCCAATCCTCGTTTCAAGGACCTTAAAGTTCGCTGACCAAGCTCTTTCCCTCCAGTTCCAGATGTAGACGAACAAACCAATAATTCAATTTCTGTTGCTGTTGTTGTTGTATTATTTTGACAGTCAATAATCGATTTTAGACAATCCTTTTTGTCACTGACAGAATCGTCAGCAGCAACTATATCACCCATTGTCTTCTTTTTGTTTCTATTTATTTTTTTTTTTTTTTTTAAATTCTTCAACCTTCAGTCTTTATTTCTCTCTAATTTTTTTATCATCAATATTATTAATATTATTGTAACCATTTATTCATCGTCAGCCCTTAATAATATTATATATCATATATCCACTATATATATCCACATATATACTCGTTGTATTTTTTTCCATCTTATTATTATCTTATTGCATGTGAGGCTATATTTTTTTTTTTTTTTTTTTTTATTTTATACAATCAATATCATCATTTGGCGATATTCATTATAATTTATTATCAAGTGACTAAATATTTTCTTTTTTTAATTTTTAATTCAAGATCAATAAACTTTTTGAAATAGTAATGCATATGTCCATGAGTGGTGCAATTTATATCATTAATAGTTTTATCAACAATTTATTTACAACATTAGTTCAATGAGTTGTAGTTTTTTTTTTTTTTTTTTTTTTCTTTTTTTTATTTATATATAGAGCCGGTACGTAAAGGTAATCAATTCAGATAAGGCACTAAATATGTAATCTGAAACAAATAAAGAAAATATCAATTAATATATATTGAATAATTAAAACAATTTATTGAATAGCGATCACTCTAACGATAAACTTTAAAATCGCCGTTAAAAACGTTAGAAAAACGGTTTCGTTTCTCCCAGCACCGGAACAGAACCAAAGTAGTTTATCGCGTTTAATGCGGTATCCGCTAAATTCTTTATTTTATTATTTCATTTTCAACTATCAACATTACTATACTGTAGATTATAATTTATATTTATTCCTTCTTGAACTTAAACACAATGTTTATAAAAAATTTTATTTATAATACATATAGTAAATCATTTTTTTTTCTACCTGGATTATCCTTTTAAAACATTTAAATAATTGTCAAAAACATAACTAACGTATATCTACTACTACGTGAAATATTTTTCAATTATATATACATATAAGTATTTGTCCTTGTTAAATGACGTTCACTTGTTATTTTAAAAAATTTTATTTTTCCTACTTGTTGAAAAGTGACACAAAGTGATATGCTACGTGATGTGAATTTTATTGTTATATTTACAATTCATAAATTTAAGAAAAAACAAGAAAAATAAGGATAATAAAGGAAAAAATAAAATACTCCACTGGTATTTTTCCACTCGATCACTTGACAAACTTGACAATGGTAGTTGCAGTATACATAATAATGATAGCAAGTGATGAACTGATGGAATGATGAAGAGGAAAAAGAAAAAAAAAAAAAAAAAAAAAAAGTAACCGTTAACCCACTGACACCAAAGAGAATCATACAACCAAAGGAATCTAGATTAAAATTTATAACAAATGATAAATAATAAATATCTGCTTTTGTATTTATATTGATACTATTTACTATATAAATTTAAATTGCTTGCTGTACGCGCCCGCTCTAATCTTAAACAAATAAGGAATCGGGGTCCATTTTTTCGATTGGTCGCTATAGAATATCGATACTCAGCTAAAGGGATATATAGCCTATTTACAGTTAACTTGGAAGAAATAAAAAAGTATAAAAAAAAAAAAAAAAAAAGTTGATACTATATTGATGATTTAAGTAATATAAAGAACTCTGCCAGAGTATTCAGCGTTAACGATCAAGTTCAAGGTTGATGTTGTTTTCTTTTTCTTAATCTATTATTATATCTATTATTGTATAACACATTAGTGGAATAATAAACTGCCAATTTAATTTTTTAATCCGTGTAAATAATTAAGATATAACATAGAATAAAAGTTTTATTAATAAGTAAATAATGTTAATTGAACGGAGTACCTAATATTAGTTTAGTTTTCAACGTTTAAAAATACCTATAGAGTAATAATAAACATAATGTTAATGGTATATACGGCCTCGTGACAATGACTATTGTAATTAAATTTTATATATAATGATGATGATAATAATAATAATAATAATAATAATAATAATAAGTTAATTACAGTGACAGTAATATTAAAGTATAGATGATTTAGCCAGTTTATGTCACGACGTTCTGTATATGATATGAAGAAAGAAAAATTTTTAAATATGAAAAACCAGTGTAAGCTGGATCATCATTATCATTATTATAATTGCATTGAACGAATTTAATTATGGCTTTATTATTTACTTTCCTTGTTAACATGTGGCTTGCACGACTCGTCAATCGAATACAAAACCGTTTATTTGAAGGACAACTTGTTGTCATTGGATGGCTAACATATATTATATAGTGCCGATTTAATGTAATATTCAAGTCCTCTTTGTGATTGTAAAAATACATGATTTATTTTTTAATAGCGACATATAAAAAAGTATAAATATATAATTTTAAGATAAATAACGTAAATAATCAGGACTAATATACCTAATATATATTTAACTATGTATAGTTTATATAGAACTGATTTTAACATTAGCGTACGAAATAGTATGTTTATTTTCTTCAAATTAAACGTATATATGATCCCTTTATTGTACATAATTATACTATTGATATATAAGATAAGACAATGAATATAAGACAATATCTTATTGATGTATACTTTTTGACTCTTTTATATTAGTAGATCCATGCTTTCACCTACTGGAATGATTCCAATAAAATTTAATTAGAATATAAGAATATAAAATGAAAATACAAATTAATTACTAGACATCATGATATATATAGTATTTATCTTTCACTCACTATATACTCACTGCTTTCTTTGATATATTATGTATATTAAAAAAAGAAACAACATCCAATCTTTAACGATCGTACTTCTATAAATCTAGAGTAAGTCGCATTGCATATAAGTTATAAGTAATAGTGTAACTGATAATACTGATGCATACACCGCAACGTTATTTATCCCAATATTGTATGCAAAATCATACATTATGCTCATAGATACTATTGGAAATCTCGGACAGATACTTTCCGGTAATTCTGCTTATTATCAATCATCGTATACATTATTAATTATTATAATTTTCTTTTTTAATGTTACGCGCAACTTTTATTGAATTAAAGTCAAATATTACTAAAAACTAACCATTTAGTAATTTATTATTGAGAATATATATGTTGTAAAATAATTTGATGCCTTAATAAGAAAGCGTTCGGCGAAAGTTTAAACAAGTCAATGGCCTACGTGTGAGCTAGCTCTCAACTGGTACTTTTTATTATATTGAAGATACTCTTATACCTATATACTGGTATTCTCAACGCTCTCAACTCTCGTAACTCTTTTAACGTTCTCAACGTTATTAATGTTCAACGCCGGTGGTTTTGTTTTTATTTCCCTATGTATCCTTATTTATTATTATTATTATTATTATTATTATTATTATTATTATTATTATTATTATTATTATACTTTTTAACGCCAAGTGCACTCAGTACACCCAAAATTACTTTGATTGGTTTTCCAAGGTGGCAATGCCATCATATAAATTTGTATTTTCATTAAAATCGCTATTCTGAATCCTCTATTCCTTTTACTTAAAAATCAATAACATTTAGAATTTAATTCCGTTTGACCGGTAGCACATTACTAATGACAATGAGTGAAATACATAAGTAGAAGCAACAGTCTATACCAACTATAACTAACCAGGAATGTGTGTGACAAAAATCCTAATTATCATTTCCTGTCAGGTGCGTATAATCACCATCAGCATATACTACTAATAAAACTAAACGGTCAGTATATATTATATTATATGTGTATATGCCTTATAGCAATATATCAATATAGCAATATAACTTAACTGATGTTGCTTCAGTCTGTTGCTGCTGAGAAACTATGATAATTACAACAACTATATATATATATACATACTCTCAAATTGTCGTCCGTCACACAAGTAAGAATTATTGTATATTATATGTACAACGGGAGGACATTTTCCTGTCAGGTGCATTTCTCTCTTATATATGTATTTATGTCCGGAAATATATATATGTATAAACAACTTTCTTCTTTATTAATGTAATACACAGATAGAATACTCGTCGTATTACATATTACATTATATTTTTATTTTATTTTATTTTATCAATCGTTTATATATGTATGTTATTACAATTAAAAAGTTGATTTAAAAAGAAAAAAGAAAATAATTTAGATTAATTTAAATACATACGTGCATTTATTACTAATGCAATAGTAAGAATAATATATTCATAATGATAATAACAATTATTGAAAATTGAATTTATAATGATCTTACTATTATACCACAAAATCCACAAATCACTAAAAAAAAAAAAAAAAAAAAAAACCAGAAAGAATGTAATGTTAATGGAATCAACATTAAACTATGGTAATATATTTTAATAGTAAATTTGAGAAAATAATAACAAGATTCCAGTGGTACTTCCCGTGTATAGTAGTCACACAGATCTTTGACAGTTAATTAAATGTTTTTCATCGTCTCTTTGTGATGATGATAATTAAACAGTAATATTTTATTCACCATTTACCACTCAAATGGTCATATCAAATCTAACATTTTTTAATTTTAATTATTTATAAAAAATTATAAGATAATTTAAATATCTCCTGATTAATTTTTATAATTAAATCATTCCATCATCTTGACGAGTTTTAAAGTAATAATAATGAAGCTCGCGCAAGCGGAGCCTGTTAGTCATAGTTGAATCACGTTTCGGTGGTATCAAATTCAATGTTATTATTACCAACACACAAAAAGAACAGTTTTTATTAATAATATCGATTAATTTTCTAATAATAATGGTAAAAACAAAAGAAAAATACGATAAAACATGTACCTATATAAATACAGTAAAAAAATTATTTGATGCATATTTATTATGCTTACGATGATGATGATGATGATGATGATGATGATGATGATAATAATAATAAAAGCAATAGGAAGAAATTAAAAATGTGTTTTATTTTCGAGCATTCAAGGTAACAGAAGGCTGGTGTCATGACCTTGCAGGTTCTCGGGTAC